TCCTGCTGTAAACAGCAGAAATCTGCTGTTTTCCTGCCGTGGACAGCCATTTGGCTGCCGTTGGTTCGCCGATTTTGGATAGGTTGCTTGTGAATACAAGCACTTCCTATCATAATCTTCTGACATTATCACCATTAAGTGATAATAGGAGAAGTAGTTTTTTTAAGCACACTCTTAAGCAGAGAGCATTCAAGAGAAGCAATTCATAACTGAAGTGAAAAAGGAAAGGTAATAGGATTTAGCCATAGCATTATCCATTTGAAGATTAAAAGAAATTGAATCTCAGCAATGATTATAATAGAGAACAACTCGTCGTTGATACAAGCTTCAAACCATCTTACATGCATTGATAGTTTGTTTGAATCATTATGTAAGTCGGGCCGTACAATTGGCATTATCAAAAGTTTTACATAAGTTAAGCTTAGCACAAAAAAATCTTAAGATAATTAAACTGTTTGATAATCTCATAAGTCAAAGCAATATCATTAGTAATGTCTCAATTATGAGTAAAGACTATTTGTGCTAAATGAATAAGAAAAGGTATTATGGAGGGATATACCTTTAAAATTAGAAAGGTTGTTAAAATGAAGCCTTTTTTGGGATGAGAGTGATAACAAAATGCTTAGCCATATTGAAGAGCTCACAAGTCACAAGTCTTTGAAAAAATGATTGTGCAAAATGAGTAAAATGAGGACTAATGGTATTCCATCAAACATTAAAAAGCTTAGAAGTGAACCATTATGACTAGGAGTTTTATCAATCTTGATATAAAAAATGACCTATTAGATCTCCATGTTAGTGTAGCTCAAGATCTTCTATTAACTAACACTTCTGAATCATAGTGCCCACAGAGAGGTTAATAAGAGAAAGTGAAGGTTAGAGATGTGAGAACATGGATGAATAAATGTTGCAAGGAAGTTGCAATGTCATCTGAGAATGAGAAAATACTTTTGGTTCTAATAATCTCTTTAATATTCTTATGATTCCTTGGCTCTTGACTTCTTGGTAAAGGCAAGATCTTTCTCACTTTTAAACATACAAGCAACTTTTGAATGTTGATGGATCCGTTGGCATTCACAACTAGCAACATAAATGAGCTTCTTTTGTATGTTCTTATTATCCTACAATAGAGAGTCCTTGATATGATCAATTTTTAGGAAGTTAAAAACTTTAGCTCGGCCATTTCTTAAAGCCACCCCAAAAAAAGTTTAATTTTACAAGAGTTGATATAGTAAGAGTTATTAAGGCTAAATTTTATGACATCATTTGCTAAAAAAAAAAATATTCCTCCATAATATAAGTTTTCCAAGTTGAAGCAATTAACTCATTAACCCGAACATGCATGTTATAAATTATTAAAATGAATGTGTTTAGAAGGTACTTGCTTAGATTTATAGCCAATGTCAATATTTGTTATACAATGGAGATAAAGGTCCTACCACAAGTTATTATAAAAAAAATTCTCTTAATCTTGTTCCTAATGGTGCAAGACACTTAGTTATTAATCCAAGAATAAGAAATTTCAACACTTTGGAAACTCCTTGAGGCCTATTTGAAGAATGCATTCATTAATATCTTTGAAGTTAATTAGGATAATGATGTCCTCCTTAAACTTATTCAATGGAGAATAAATGTAATTGAATTGAAGTCTCCATAATAATCCCAAATTGACTACATTTTTTTAACCTAACAATTGAATCAAATGATCAAATACCCTTAGTCAGGTTGAATCTGAGGAGAAAGTGGGAAAGACACAACGAGGAACAGGGAAAGAGAAGAGCTAGATTAATCCATTAATTGAATTAGTTACAGTAACCTGTATTTATAGATGCAGGTAAATGGCAAAGAAGTAAATACAATCATGTCCTAGATACAAAATTAGCCGTTGTCTTCTAATATCCTCCCTCAAATTAAGCATTCGGTTCCCGAATGGTTAATTTGGTGCGGAGCTCTTGGAAGCGAGTGATTGAAAACGGCTTGGTTAAAATGTCGGCTATTTGATTTTGAGAGGAGATATGCGATAGCTGAAGGTTGCCGGATTGGATTTGTTGGCGAATGAAGTGATAATCGATCTCTATATGCTTTGTCCGTGCATGAAACACCGGGTTTTTGGCGATAGCCATGGCCGAGGTGTTGTCACAATGGATGGTAGTTGGGGACGGCTGCGGAATGTTCAATTCGGTGGTTAGGCGTCGAAGCCAAATCACTTCGGATGCTGCCGCGGATAGAGATCTGTATTCCGCTTCCGTGGACGACTTTGCGACGGTAGCTTGCTTCCGAACGGTCCACGAGATTAGATTTGAGCCTAGAAATGTGCAGAAGCCCGATACAGACTTCCGATCGGTAGTGTCGGAAGCCCAGTCTGCATCCGTATAGGATCGCAGCTCAAGAGATCCTGCTGTGAGAGGTAGTCCGAAGCGTATTGTGCCCTTGATGTATCTTAGGATGCGTGTGAGGGCCTTGTAATCTTGCACGGACGGGGATTGCATGTGTTGGCAGATTCGGTTGGTTGCAAATGCAATGTCCGGCCTGGTTATTGATAGGTATTGTAAGGAGCCTGCGAGACGGCGATAGAGAGAGGGATCTGTGAATGGTTGAGGGTTCGGATCGTGGTGTGTCTTCGGAGGAGTCATTGGTGTCGGGGCCGGTTTACAGTCCTTGAAACCTGCATCATTGAGCAATTTAGTAGCATAGTGTTCTTGTGAAAGGAAGAAACCGGTAGAGGAGCGAGTTACCTGAATTCCGAGAAAAAGGGAAATCGGGCCAAGCTGTTTGAGGGCAAATTGGTTGCTGAGTTGTTGAAGCAGCCGTTGAATCATGAGCTCATTGTTTCCGGTCACGAGAAAATCATCGACGTAGATTAGTATGTAAATGGAAATGTTGTTTTTGTTGAAAAATAGAAGTGAAGGATCGGAACGACTGAACTCAAAGCCTTGTTGTTGAAGAAATCCGGTGAGCTTCTGAAACCATTGCCGCGGTGCTTGTTTCAGTCCGTAGAGAGATTTGTGGAGTTTACAAACCGCGTGAGGTTGGGCTTGATCGATGAAGCCCGGTGGTTGTTTCATGTAGATGTCGTCGGTCAAATCACCGTGCAAGAAGGCGTTGGCGATGTCTAGCTGGTATATTGGCCATTGCCGGTTGAGAGCCAGAGTGAGCAGGACCCGAATGGTCGGCATCTTCGCAACAGGGCTAAAGGTCTCGTCGTAGTTGATGCCGTGCTGCTGATCGTAGCCGAGAGCCACTAGGCGAGCTTTGTAACGTTCGATCTG